ATATTCAAAGTGATGAAAAACATGGAACTACAACCAAGATTGCTCTACCCTGCAAAGCTATCATTTAGAACTGAAGGTGAGATAAAGAGCTTCACAGATAAGAAAAAGCTAAAGGAGTTCATCACCACCAGACAGGAAATGTAGAAGGGTCTTCTTTAAGAAGAAGCTAATAAACAAAAGAATCTGACAAACTAAATAGATCCAGATACATTGACGCATGCAACAGACGATCATATTTCAGAGGAAAGAGGGAAGGGGGGTGGAGGGTGGGGAGAGATTAACCAGAGAAGTTATATGCATATATGCATAACCCATGGACACAGTTAATAACAGGGTGAAGGCCTGGAGAGGGGGTGGGAGCGAAGTGGAGGGAGTCAATTAGGGGGGAAAAATGGGACAGCTGTAATACTCTCAACAATAAAGATAAATTAGAAATAAAATAAAATAAAATAACAATAAAAGTATAGTACAATAAATACAGAAACCAGTAACATAGTTGTTTATCATAATCAAGCATTATGTACTGTACATAATTGTATGAACTACACTGTAATATGACTGGCAACACAGTAGGTTTTTTGTTTTTTTTTTACACCAGCATCGCCATAAGCATGTGAGTAATGCACTGCACTATCACCTTAGGACAGCTATGATGTCACCAGGTGACAGGAACTTTTCAGTTCCATTATAATCTTATGGGACCACTGTCACACATGTGGTCACTGGGCAAAATGTTATTCTGCGACACATGACTGTAAATAAACATACTGAAGATAATGGGAGTCAGGTCTCTCACAGTCAGAGAAAGGAATCACAAATATGAAAAGAAGATTAGACTGAAATTAGAGATATTACTATGAACTCATGGTTTTAATATAGATAGATATTTAGAAATAGAAATAAGAAATAATATAGACACAGATATAAATTTTAACTCTGTCTGCTGAGAGGGCCTACAAGTAATGATACTCCAGTAACAATGAACACCTCTAGTAACCACAATTTGGTTTCTAAATACCATTCTACACTAAAATGAACCAGGACTACTTGAAGAAATAGCTGGTTTCAGGACTGGGGGAGAAAAAGTACAAGTTCAGCCTACAACAGCATGTTATGTCAGGATATAAAGAAGTGTTCGAAGAATGATGAGGTCATGTCAACAGGACATAATAACCAGCTTGAAGGGACTCACACTAACCAAATCTGGTACAATGTGACCATCAAAATAAATAATTGTAATAATGGATAAGCTACTGAATAAAATAGAAATTCACAAGTCTGAACTGATATAAATAAATAGGACATATAATACCAACTGAAAAATACAAAAGAAATGATGGCTTAAAAAATTACCATTTGGGAAACATAATATTAATTGACTGAGGCAAGGATCATCATTGGATGCTCAAGACAATGGGTAAAATCTGGTAAATAAGCAGACTTAATATTTGTATAATTTATATTTTAATATTTGTATAGTATTAAAATATCTCCTTACAAAAGACTTAGTAACTATAAAGGGAAAAATATTAACTTTACTAAAAATTTGCACACACCACCTTAATCGTGACCAAAGCAGTGGTGTGCTAGAGCAGACTCACACCAACTCAACAGAGGCACATCCCTTCTCAATTTTGTGTTCAGTGATGACGTAACCATGATGGGAGTATTTGCACCACAGAAATCCTCAAGTGTTACAAATCAAGGCTTTTTACCCCTGGAGAAGCAATTGTTAGTAATTTCTAAGCATAATACTGGATCAAAGTTATTACCACCAACCAAGCTGACTTCATGTGCTTCATGACATCACACACCAAGCACACAGCATCACTTTTGTGGTATTCTGCCCAAAATGTACAACCTCATTCTAATGATGAGAAAGCATCAGAAATCGCCTAAATTGAGACATTTTACAAAATAACTGGATGGAAAGAAGGAATCACATCTAGAGAAAAATGATAAAGCAAATCTGACTAATTGTTAACCAAGGAGAATCTGGGTGCCAGACATACAGTTCTTTGTACTGTGCTGGGAACTTTTCTGTAAATCTGAAATTTTTTAAAAATCAAAAGTTTTAAGGAAACACACCACAGCTTTTTTATCTGCTCATCTACTGATGGGCATTTGGGCTGTTTCCAGATCTTAGCTATTGTAAATTGCACTGCTATGAACATAGACGTGCATATATTCTTTCTGATCGGTGTTCTGGGATTCTTAGGATATATTCCCAGAAGTGGGATCACTGGGTCAAATGGCAGTTCCATTTTTAATTTTTTGAGGAAATTCCGTACTGTTTTCCATAGTGGCTGCACCAGTCTGCATTCCCACCAGCAGTAAACTAATGTTTCCTTTTCTCCACAACTTCGCCAGCACTTGTCGTTTGTTGATTTGTTGATGGTAGCCACTCTGACAGCTGTGAGGTGCTATCTCATTGTTGTTTTAATTTGCATATCTCTGAGGATTAGTGAATTTGAGCATTTTTTCATTTCATATGTCTCTTGGCCATCTGTATGTCCTCTTTGGAGAAATGTCTATTTAGGTCCTTTGCCAATGTTTTAATTGGATTGTTTGTCTTCTTTTTGTTAAGTTGTATGAGTTCCTTACATATTTTGGAATACTATGCAGCTGTAAAAATGAAGAATCTCTTACCCTTTGCAACAGCATGGATGAAACTGGAGAGTATTATGCTAAGTGAAATATGCTAGTCAGAGAAAGACAAGTATCACATGATCTCATTCATATGCGGAATATAATGAACAAAATAAATTGATGAACAAAACAGATCCAGGCACGTAGAAGCATGGACCAGACTGAGGAATCTCAGAAGGAAGGTGGTAGTGGGGGAGTGGGTGGGGAGAGATTAATCGAAGAACTTACATGCATATATGCATAACCCATGGATATAGACAATAGTGTGGGGCAGGCCTGGGAGGGGGTGGGTT